AATCTAGGGTGCTCGAAGATTAAACAATCCTCCTTCACCCTCGCACGTGGCCTAGGAATATGGGCTTAACTTGAGAAAACAGGAAATGAATGTAGATAACGTATGTAAATTTAAAAAGGTAAACGTGAGAGTGACGGTGAAATAAAAAGTGAAGAGGAAAGTAGACTAAACTAAAGTAAACGGCCGATATCAGACTGATAATCCATCAGGGGGGTGAGGATCTAAAAATCCTATTCTGAGGATTTAATGGGGGGGAAACGGGAGCACCCCGAGAAAACCCACTTTCACTGGTAATGCCCAATTTGTTACCAGTGCCCAGTTAACAAGAAGAAGTAAGTGGGGAAGTCAAAGTGAAGTCCGGTGCTGGGGGTTGATTAGCCATTGAATGAGTTGTGGAGTCTCCTGACGTTCGCCATGGTTTTGTTGTGGAACAGTTTCCAGTTCCAGACAGGTGGCAAAGGCATGAGGTCCTCGGTGTTGTTGGTGATTGTGCGGGAGATACAAAAAGATTCATCAGGTTGGTAGAGATGGGGGGAGGTGTCCATTACAAAGGTGTTAGGTGACATTGACGATGATGATGTGGAAAGAAGCTTGGGGCTGGGATGCAGGTTATTGGTATTTTGATAGGCATTGTTGGTAACTGTGCAGACTTGCGGCTAGGTCTGGGTGCCTTTTTTCCTCCTGGTAGTGGTGGTTTGGGTTGACATGTCTTGAAATTCAGGGATGGGTGAGGATGAAATCTGCTATTGTTTTGGAAGTTGTGACAACTTTTATGAACTTGGATGGTGAACCTGTTTTCTTTGACCCTTTATCATATATAGCAAAATATCCTTGCTGTTTTAACATTATCAGGCTGTCAGCTGTTTCTTATAAGCCTTTTTTCAATTGTCCAGTTCTCCACTCAATATTTCTCAGGAATGTTCATTTATCCTTTACGCCAGAGGAAATTCACCAAGCCCTGGAAATTACACAGTCCACCATATCCAATAATAAAAATTTTAAATTGGGATTGGATCCTTAAATGATGCTGAGGGCAAAGTTTTTGTTAAAGACTATGAAAAGATTGAGCTTTAGACAAAAGAAGCCTTTTATAATTATTAAGTGAAGTTTTGTATTATAAAATCAGTATAGATTCAATGAAGGTAAATCTTCTCTTACTAACTTGGTAACTTTTTTGGGGGAGAAGGAGGATTTTAGAGTTCTTTGGATGAAAGAAAGGGTGTTGATTTGGTGTATGTAGATTTGTAAAAATCTTTTGATAAGGTGCCATATAAAAGACTAGCTAAAAAATTGCATTGGTGTAAATTTAGGAAAAACTGAATAATTGGGTTGTAAGATGATTTGACAAGAAAAAGCAAAAAGGTAATATCAATAGAGTTATGTCAAATGGATTGTTATTACTGGTGAAATGCTTCAGTGGTCAGTGCTTATGCATTTGTTTTTCTATCACAACTGGCCCTTATATTAAATGCAAGATAAAGCATTGGGTTATCGTAATTTCAATCACATATTTAATACAGAAAGAACCCCACTCAAAAGCAAGATCGAAGGAAAGGATTTTGTTATAGTGATATTTATGCAATTGAGGCTCATAGCAAAGCTAACAGAAGTTTTGGGTGTATTTATAGACACCGATTATGAGTTAATCATTAGTTAGGCTGTTCCAGAAAAAAAAAGTACTGTCTCTCTAAACTGCCAAACTCATATTTAGTAGAATATATTTTTGTTTTTATTTACCATCTTTAAGACATAATCAACCAAAATTTTCAGCATATGCCAGTCAACATCAATTGCAAAAGATACAAACTTTTGGGCCAGTTATTTTTATACATGGAATGTAGTAGTCTACTCATTCAGTCTTTTAATAAAATGTTAATGCTTTATGCAGTTATCTAGGTTCATTTCACTGAATTGAGTACATTACTTAGACATTTAATAGATGACCACATGAAATAGGTAAATGTTATTCTAAAACACAGACATATATATATGTAAAGGTAAGTGATGTAATAGAAATTAATAAAAATTTCAATATTCAACCAAATACTTGAAAAAATAAAGAAACTGATCGATAAACCCAAATTTTTCAGAAATATATCAGAGAAACAAGTGTTTTGATTGATCTTAGGCCTCACTTGGAATACTGTGCACAGTTTTAGTCTCCTTACATAATAAAGAATATTGACTTACTGCAAAGGGTTCAGAGAAGGACTTCTAGAATGATTCCACAAATGAAAGGGTTATCTTACAAATATAAGGATATTTTAAAGACCTCCAACTTATTTTCTTTTGAGAAAAACTTCAAAAAGAAGGGTAAGAGATGATCTTTTCACATATACAACTTACAAGATTATCCATTGGATCAGTAGAATAAATGCCTCTTGATTTCTTTGTGCTATGTTCTGAAGTTGACAGAACATGAAATTAAACTTTGAAAAAAAAGACAGACTAGGCTTTGGTTAAAAAGAGTGTTATTTTTCAAACATAGGTAACTGCATGATGTTATGGAATAAAATGCCATCAGCAGTAGTGGAAACCAGCACTTAAATAATAATAATTTATTGTAAAATAAATGGTACAGTTAAGCTTTTACTTTTTCTCATGGTGGAAGTGCAGTGTTATACTAAATAATATTACATATGCATAAAAATGGACCATTTGACCCTTGAACTTACAATGTCAAACAAAAGTAGCATCTGATGATTCATTAGGCCATGAAATATAAATCATGCTCAACATGTGTTACTTTGCAGAAATAATATATCTCTTACTCTTAGCCCAGATATGGGGATCACCATAGATAAATGTACTATTTTTTAAAACTTTGACATGGTAACTTGTAAGTGAAAAATTGTAAAAACTGTACCAAGCCCGGTATTTTGACTATCTTAACTAAGATTAAGAGATAAACAAACTAAGAACTTCACGCGTGCACCTCCTGCTGAGTATTATATAATATATTATATACCTTTTGCTGATATTTACATAGATATGCTACTTGCCTGTCAGTTGCAGTAGTAAAGTATAAAGATTACAGTCGCTTAGTTTCTTGCAAAAGGATAGAAACGTTCGCCGATTGACAAAGCTTTAAATAATCTGAAACCAAAACCTCATACCTACTTACTGCTCTACACTTTTACATCACAGATCCAGAGTAGGTATGAATCTATAAATAATATTAAAATATATAAAGTAATCGTTCATGGATAGTGCCTCTCTCTTATATTGTTATAAATTTCCAAATTAAAATTTAATTTCAAAATATGCAGCTCCTTTAGTGACTCACCACAATCTTGAGCGCTTGTAATGCTAAAATTCAGAATTTGATCCCTGCATTGGCCACAAATCAGATAACCCATTGTACAGTTTTGTTATTAATAAGAAACAAACTATGCAATGTTATTAAAATAAAGCATATTGTCAGTGGAATATTTATTTTTAAAATTAAAGAAATTGTACATTTCTGTGAATAAAATGATTCGACTGAACGAAGCAGTCATAATGGCCC